AATCTCCAAGCTCTCTATTCTGTTCTGTTGGTTATTTGTTCGTGGGCTAATGCCATATATATAAATACACACACATAATTTTTTAATATCTGTAACTTTATGGTATCTCTTAGGTTCTCTCTTTTAAAACCAACTAGATATTCATTGACCTTTTCTATATAAAATTTTAGAGCAAATTATTAGGTTTTTCAAAAATCTAACTGGAAATTTTTGGAGGGTATGTTGTTGCTGTTAGGTGCTGTTGGATCAGCTCTGACTCATAGTAACCCTACGTATTACAAAAAAAAATGTTGGAGGGTATATTGAATGTATTTATTAACTTCGGGAGAATTTAAACACAGGTATGTATCACTTAACATTCATTTGGGCAAAGTCTGACCATATATATGTCCATGATCCCATTTAAAAAAAAAAAAAAGAACTCCAAACTCGCTGCCTTTGAGTCGATTGCTACTCATAGCGACCCCTTCTTGGATTTCTAAGGTGGTACTTCTACAGAAGTAGATTGTCCAGTCTTTTTCCAAGGAGTGGCTAGTGGGTTTGAACTGCCAGCCTTCTGGTTAGCAGTCAAATGCCTTAGGCACCATGCCACCAGAGCTCCCAATGATCCCATAAGGTTTTTGTTTTGTTTTGTTTTTAAAGAGAAAGCAGCTCTCTTTTTGTTTATAATATCCCCCTAATGGTTTTAAAGACCCCAAACCCCCAGAGAATGAGCAGGAGGCTTCAAGCGTATCCCGGTCACCACAGCATCTCTTCCTTCACTGCCTCCTTCCCATGCTTCTGGCTTCATTCACCAGGTGTACGTGATCGCCAAGCAGCCGAACCAACAGAGCAGTGGTAGCCATGGCCACCACTGCCAGCCTTTCTTCAGGCATCCACACCCAGTCTCTGCTGCACACCCAACAAGCCTGGCCTCCTGTATCCAGTGGATACAGCTCTGTTCAGCAGGCTCTTATAAGATTTTAATATAATAGGCTTCAAGGGTATTTAACTATGGATTGTATGGGGACTGTCTGTATATGACATGGTGTTGACACAGTGGCCATATCACCTAGTGACCTGTTTCACAGAAGGTATCGTGGACATTAAGTGATGCATACCTTATTTAAATATTATGGGAAAGTAATCTCACTAAAGAAGATAGAATGCCTCTTCAAATACTCAAATCATCTATTATGTCCTTTAATTAGAGTTTTAAGGGTTCCCTCAGAAACTTCTTATTTATTCTTGGCAAAGATGATTCCTAATAAAATGTTTGTTACTGCAGTTTTAACTGTGGGATTTTGTTTTTGTCTTCTGATAATAACATTCTGTTCAGTACTTGCACACAGAAACTCAGGAGCAAAAAAAAAAAAAAAATTCTCATTGAGAAAGAGATATACTCAACCTATTGTAGTGCCTAAGGCATTTGACTGCTAACCAGAACGCTGGTGGTTGAAACCCACCAGCCACTCCTTGGAATGAAGACTGAGCAGTCTACTTACCTACAAATACCACCTTGGAAAGCGGTATTTCTGGGTAAGGAGAGGTCACTATGAGTCGAATAGACTCGAAGGCAGTGAGTTTTTTTCAATTGTTTTACTATTTGGAGAATTTTCAGATAAAATTCAGAGAGAACATAGGCCTTGTTGATATCATAGAATAAATATTTAAGTTTGAGAAGTATTATAACTTATAACATGAAAATAAATTAAAGCAGCCCTGTAATATGGATTGGAGGAATAAAGATGAAAAGAATATCAGTAATAGAAAGTGTTATTTAACCTTGAAGAGAGAACAAGAACACGTAACCAAAAAGTAAGCACCAGTTTGTTTGTTTGTTTTGTATACTTGGACAAATATTCTTACATGATCACTATTTTTCCTTTTTTTAATTGTGGTTTGGGTGAAAGTTTACAGAGAAAATTCATTTTCCATTCAACAGTTCATACACGTTTTATTTCATGACACTGATTGCAGTCCCCACGTTGTAACAGTTCTCTTCCACTTCCTCCCTGTGGTTCCCTTTCCCCTGTGTCCTTTCCTATGTGTTCATGCTCTGTGAGCTGTCTGCCTGCACAAATGCCACCCTTCTGATCTCCAGTGATTAATTGTTTTAAGGAGTGCACCTCTCTAGAGTAAGCACCAATTTGTGATGCATTTTGCCTATAGCAGTGACACCTCTTCTTGTCCTTAGGAGGAGGTAGAGGAGAACTTGAAATTGATCAGCTTATTTATACTGTACTGCTGTCTTACTGTACACGCATTAGTAAAGCCAAAAAATTGTCTACATTCGACACAAACAAAAGTACAAGTGTATTCCTGTTATCTTGTTGATAGATGCTAATTTTTCCTACCAGTTTCTGTTCCCTTAATAGTAGCCATGAGTTTACAACGACAGGACAAAATTCAGCTCCATAATTGGCACTGGTTTCGAGACAGGTAACTTGAAATTGACATACCAGTAAGCAGAGGTGAAAGGACTAGTGAGAATTTCCAGTGGGAGTGGAGAATATCATGATAAATGAGGCATGACTCTGTGATCAAGGTCACAGTCTAGCCAGAGACAAGGTATTCAGCTAGCTCTGACACAGTATAATAAATGCCATGGCAGCGTTGTGGTCACAAGGTGCCTATGGAACCAGGTAGGGTTTCAGAGAGGAAGCAAAATTTTGGACAGGAGATGAAGTGGGGAGGCAAGAATGCCCACATAAGCAACAGTGTTACCATAGGTGTTTAACCTAGGCAGCAGCATATTTCCATCTGTATGTTAGAATGAAAATTCTGGAAGCAGAATAAAGGAGAGATTGGTGACAAGGAGGCCAGTGAGGAAGCCAACATAGCACATTAAATTTTTTTTTTATTTTTGCAGTGTTCTATGTCCTGCCCTCCCACCACTGGTAACCAACAAAGAAAGTTTCCATCATATAAACCTTTCCTTGACTTTTTACAATAATGAAGTAATACAATATATGTCCTTCTGTGTTGACTTATTTCACTCAGCATAATATCCTCCAACTTCATCCACATTATGTTTTGCAGATTCTGCATTAGTCTTTAGTGTTGCATAGTCTTCCATTGAATATAACACATTTTTGTTAAGCTAATTAGGAGAATAAACTTTATAATAGCAATGTTGTTGTTGTTGTTGTTATGTGCCGTCGAGTCGGCCCCAACTCATAGCAACCCCTTCTTGGGTTTCCAAGGCAGTATCACTATGGAAGTAGATTGCCCCATCTTCCTTCCGAGGAGTGGCTGGTGGGTTTGAACCGCCAGCCTTCTGGTTAGCAATCAAGTGCTTTAGGCACTGTGCTACCAGAGCTCCCAGGTACCATAAATAAATAAATAAAGTTCATGCCTGCCTGCCTGCCTTGCTGAAACACTTGACTTTACAGAGGAAACACAGTTTTTGGTAAAGTTCTGCAAAGGTTGGTCCTACATCCTTAGTAGGTCTGATACACAAGCCCAACATCCAGAATCAGAGCATTTGAAGTGCTCTGGGGCCACCATGGCTGACACCATGGTAGATCCATTACTCTCTTCCTGCCCCTTTTGACCCTGTTGCCTGCATTTTCAGGATCCTCTCTAGACGCTAGTTACAAGAAATTCTTTAAAAAGTTATTTACATTTTTAGTCGCACAGAACTTTGAAGGAGCAACTTAATCCAAGCCATAAAATAGTGATGCATATTGTAAAGCCTGTAGTTTAGCTTACTCGATACAAACTGCTTCTTAAACTTTCTTCTCTCTTGTCTTTGGCCTCAGTCTTTCTCCATCTCCATTATATTCCAAGATTCCGTTTATATCGGTTAGTTTACACATGTGTTTTAACCTAAAAATGACCTCTACATTGTTGAGCATTTTTGCTAACTCAGGTAAATATTTCAGATTACAGAAATGAAGAGAAATGCAACCCCAAAGAGGAGATACCATTTTGATGATGATGACAGCGACAATGATGATAATTATAATAGTAAACGTTCACAGAGTGCATGTCTAAGCTCATTCAGCACTCACAGTAACCCCATGAGATAGCTATAATTCCCATTTTACAGATGATAAAATTAGAAGCACAGAGAATTTAATTAATTTTCTCAAGAAAACACAGCTAACAAATGATGGAGTCAAGCTTCTACTCTTCAGTCTTCTACAGAGGTCACAGTCTTAAACATTTAAGTTGTGCCACCTTTCTTTGCTCATGCTTGGCTTTTTGAACACAGTAAAGTAGTCACAATTTCAGCTTTAAAGATATGAATTCCTACAGCTTTAAATATCTCTTCTAACTCACCTCCCTTGACTTGCTTTCTAGACCTACATCAGGCAGTTACTATGCTTAGCTATGAAGTCTACCTTCAAGGAAGGGCAGGAGATCTGGAGCCGTTGGGAATGATACAAAAACATATGTTTTTTTTTTTAAAAAAAAAAAAACCTATGTTTGTGTTCTTAGAATATAGAAGCAGTCAAATTTTTATAAACATTTGTTACCACCCGGGATGATTTCATGTTTGTCTTTGGTACTCAATGTCGAGCAAAATAACTACTCTGCTATTAAAGATGCAGTTTCAAAGATAAGTGCGTAGTTTGCAGCCTGGCTTCTGTGTTCCAGCATTCCTGAGACCTATCTTGTCGTATGGAGTGGTTCACCAAGTCTGGGGAGTGTGCTCTGGAAACCCACAGAATAGGCTTCCTGGAGCTCTGTCTTCTAGGTAAACTGGATTGAGTATGTTCATTTCTGATTTTCATGTTGTATGGATGACCAAAACAATGGTGACAGAGGGGAAGCAGGTGCAATAGGAATCTGACTCCTAGTCTCTTGAAACATTAACATTAACCAAAAGCCACAGGGAAAAGATGTTAATGCTCCAGTTCCAGGCAGCTGACAACAGTGTTGTCTGTGCTAATGTTGCTAAGCTGGTAAAGCCATGACCGTTTGTTCTTGTCTCACGTTCATAGATCCGCTTGTCCTTCACATTTTCACATGCAGGTTTTTGTTTTGTTTTGTTTTGTTTCTCATTTGAACAGAGCATCATGGTCCACCATCAGGAACAAACTCGGCCAGGCAAAGCCCAGCCCTGCAGCACAGGCCCGTGGGACAGTCACAGACCAACCATATACTTGGGGACAGGTGGGGCTATTTTTCTCAGGTTTTGTTTTCTATGCCTCCTCATCTCTCCACCCTCCCTCACCCACCCACCCCTATGAAGTTACGCAGGAGCCAGCTGGTGAGATCAGAATGACAGCTCTCAAATATTCTACCCTCTGATGCCTTCCCTAGCTATCCCTCTCCCCACAGTGCCTTCATCCCTCTTCCCAGACCCCACCCTGGGACACAGTATAATTACCCAGTCATGTCTGACAAGCGGGGATTAAAAGGAAGTGATAGTAGCATCTGGCCCTGCCACTCTTGGTCCTCATACCTTGAGGGAAGCCCCTAGACCTTCATTGGATTGCTGTCTCTCCAGCTACCTAAGCAGGCATGGCTGTTCATGTACATTATCTCTTTTCTCTGTTCTTGAAAATATTAGCCATAAAGCAAAAACTGAATTTCCAGAAATTCAGTCACTTCATGGGGATTGACCGGTTCTACAGGAGAGCTATTTTTCACTGTAGTAAGGCCAGCTTACCTGCCCTCTGGTTGTTACTTGAGTGCAATTTTCCTTCATGTAAACTGCATGAAGATGCCCTTTTAAAACAATGTGGCGATTCTGACAGACTTAAAGCTGCGCTGGAGGTAATGACCAGGTTTTTGCCTAGCTTCTCTCTGCTTCTAGATGCCTTCTTTATAGTCGTTGGTCAGAAGGAGAATGGTGAGGTTTGCTTTTAAAATAAAACAGACATTAATCTGCCTTTATTTTAGACTTTTTCATTTTTTCAGTGCAGAAAGTGACTTGATTTCTCTCCTGTAGAAGCGCCCTAGAAGGTGAAATCGGGAAAGATGTCTCCACTTACAGACATTCGTGGTCTGACCATAAGCACATTGCCCAGCCTGACACAGCAATGATTTCGATTGTAGGCACTCGGCACAATCAGGTAAATGACCTGCTCCTCCCACACACCATGGGGCCTGATATTTGAGTTACTAAATTCCTGGCATGGGTGCAAATTTGTGTCTAATGCATTTGAGATAAATGTGTTTGTAAAACTAATAATTTTTGAGGACTGACTATGCATTTGGCGTTCTAGTAGCTTCCACAAGAGAATATAAAGAATGAAAGAGATGTTTGCCCTGCAGTTAAAGAAATTTGAATCCCTGGTTTAGTATGTAGATGTAAATGGCAGTATTTTATCGAATCTAAGGAGAGTTTTGATTTTTTTTTGTTGTTGTTGTTTTAATTAGTCACAATCAATTTAAAGGAAGCACTTTCTAAATTCTGTTTTTCTGGTTGTTCCATTGTGCATTGACCAACTAGTGGAGAAGATAATGTAATCTCTCAGTTAATTTAGCTGCATCTTTGAAAATAAAGTAGCCCTTCAACCAAAACTCAAATTCCTTCCCTATGTTATGGACCTCCCTAGAAATGCATGTCAAGAGTGTAAGTCATTTCTCCAGTTATAAAAATAACCTTTTTTCAAAATGAAAGCAGTCCATGAAAACTTGTTCTTCTTACACGTCTTTCCCTGTAGAGCCTTGGCTGTTACCCAGTGGAGCTGGAGAGGGGGCCCCGAGGCTTTGGGTTCAGCCTCCGTGGGGGAAAGGAGTACAACATGGGGCTGTTCATCCTTCGTCTTGCTGAGGATGGTCCTGCCATCAAAGATGGCAGAATTCATGTGAGTTGGCTTCTGTCTTCAATGCTTGGTTCTGGGTTCAGACTGGAAACTTCTGAAAGCAATTGGTTCAGGGGAATGCAGAAATCTGACTCTAAGAAACACGATTTTCCTTCACTAGAACCTAAAAGCCTATACTGTATTACACTTACGCTACTTTTGCCTTCTTGACTTTAGTCAATAAGAAAAAGTAGTTTTCACCTGCATAGTCAACATTCACAAGCAAATGGATTAATAAATAATACATATTTTAATTAAAAAAACAGATATGATCCTTCCTCAATATGACCAGACATGTGTCCATTAAAGAGGGTGATCAGAGAAGATTTTGCAGAGAAGATGACATTGAGAGGCAGGTAGGATTTCAGTAGAGAGAGACTTGAGAAGAGAATACATTCCAGGTGGAAGAAACAAGCAAGGGTTAAAACTGGGAAGTTTTATAGGTAAAAGTTATATAAGTACCTCAGCATGGTTGAGTTGGCCTAGAGTTTATTTAAGAAACACATAGAGGGACCGAGTAGTTGAACCTGTGGGCTCGGGACCATAGTCGCAGGGGACATCAAGCCCAATTGGCATAACATACTACACAAAACATTGTTCCACCTCCTACTGTGGTGAGTAGCGACTGGGATCTTAAAAGCATGCAAGCTGCCATCTAGATGCAACGATGGGTCTCTCCTCGTCCAGAGCCAAGAAGAATGAAGAAAACCAAAAATACATAGAAACAGTTAGTCCTAGAGACTGGTATACCATCCGATCTGCAGCCTATATGACTATGAGACCTGAAGAACTAGATGGTACCTGGCCACTACTGTCAACCACTTGGAAGAGGGTCTATGTAGGAGATCCTGGATAGACAGGGAGAACAATGTAGAACAAAACTCAAAATCATTGGGAAAAAAAGGGGGGGGGACCAGGTTTGCTGGTCCGATAGAGCCTGGTGGAACCACTGAGACTATGGCCTCTAGCTGCCCTTCAGGTCTGGAATTGAATGAATGCCTGTGGCTTCCAGCCACACAATAGGCATATGAGTTGAACATTTACCTGAGGTAAATACACTCCTTGGAGAGAAATACACTCTCATGGGAGAAAGAAGGGCTGTTCATGCACAGGGAGACAGCTCAGGGGGCAGGAGTGCGTGGAGGGATGGACACAAGAAAGAGGTAACTATCGGGAGGAAGTAGGAGGGGAGCTGTTGCATTGTGGTAAATTGTGGTCAATGTCATGAGACAAAGTGTATTGTGAACTGCTATATGGAAAGTGAATTTGCTCTGTAAACCTTCACCCAAATCACAATAAAAAGAAAAAAGAAAAGAAACACACAGAGGAGTAGAGGAAAAGGAGAATATACAGGGGGAAAGGAGTCCTGGGGGCAAGTTGTTAAGCACTTGACTGCTACTAACCAAAAGTTTGGTGGTTCAAACCTACCAGCATATGAGATCAGCTGTTAATAAAGAGAGGGTCAGCCTGTGTAGATGACTGATAAATATCTGTTAAATAAATGAGGCATGAAAGGAAAAAAAGAGTGAAGGAGGACTCGGAGAATTTGCTGGGCCTAAATAGGCAGTGCCTGGATGATGAACAAATTCTATCCCTAAGTCTGTGTTTAAGTGGAATTTGTATGTCAGAACAGCTAGGTACAGTTTATGTCTAACAGCAGTTAGTCAGATGTTTGTCTTAGTATATAGTGTACTTTTCTATGCATAAGAAACATGAAAGAAACACTTCCAGATACACTAAAACATCTTTGACATCATATAATAATGATAATAGTAATGTTTTGATGTGCATCACAAAGTGGCACCCATTTGTTATTACGAACCATTTTACTTACCTCGACTTTTTAATATAATAGGCTTTATGGGGCTTGGTTCATAACTACAAGTTGTACATAAATCAGATGTTGTAACCCAGTGACTTGCCTGTACCATGGAAAAGCATTAAGGAGGCCAGGGGGAGAAACAGTTTGGCAAAAACCAATGATAAAATAAGTTTTAGTCATGTTGAAGTGAAACGACTAGCTACTTAATCAGGTGTAAATGTTTAGCAGGCAATTAGAACTAGTGCTAGCAAGGCTGATTGTGACATTACCCAGATGATTGAAGCCTTTGTGGTGGATGAGATCACGGAAATTAGAGAAGATTTATGGAGTAATGGGTCAACAGCAGAACTCTGGGTAGGGTCTGTGATTAGTCATGCAGAGGAAGTAGAGAAAACTACAAGAAGGGTGTGCGAGCAGAGGGGATGAAGAGCCCCAGAACCAGAGCTGGAGAGCATTTATGACAAGGAGAAGGGATGAATGCTATTCGTGCAGCTAATCAAGTGCTGCTAGATCTAGTCTCCATGCACATTCTTACAGAGACAATTTAATAGAGGGGACAGAACATAGGTTTGGAAATCTGAGAGTAAAAGGCTCAAATTCTAGCTTATCACCTTGCATCTGTGCACCATTGGGTTACTTCTTTGAACCTCAGTTTCCTCATCTAAAGGATTCAGATACCATATGTAAAATACATGGACCAGAGACCAAAGCTGTTGCAGTTCAGTTGACCCTGTCTCATGGTGACTCCATGTGTCTCAGAGTAGGACTGTGCCCCACAGGGTTTTCAGTGTCTGATTTTTTGGAAGAAGATCACCAGGCCTTTCTTCCAAGGTACCTTTGTGTATACTTGAGCCTCTACCCTTTCAGTTAGCAGCCAAGCACACTTGTATCACCTAGTGACTCCCATGGACCACAGTAATCACTGAATAATTACTTAATTTCCTTTTCTTTCTTTATGGCCAAGTAAACTTCTTAAAGTTTAATAAGAGGAATTTGGCGCAGTATTTGTAGAGGATAGTTTTCTTAGTCCTTTTTCTTTCTTTTCAGTTTGTTTGGGTATATAACATTATTTTTAATCTCCCATTATATATCCAAACTGAACCGAACTCACTGCCATTGAGTCAATTCCAAAGCATAGTGACCTCGATTGGGTTTCTAAGGCTGTAAATCTTTATGGAAGTAGAGTGCCCCAACTTTCTTCCATGGAACAGCTGGTGGGTTTGAACCACTGACCTAGTTAGCAGCCAAATGCCTTATCTACCACACCCCCAGAGCTCCTTCCCATTATATATAGTGTTAGAAAAATCTAATTAAACAGAAAATGTAAGATCTGTTCAATTACAAGTTTTATTGCCATGTACTGAAAAAAATAAATGTTGGTTCCAAATATAACTCTCAGATGTACTCATCTCAACAAACAAAGACAAACAGGCCTTCAAGCAGGCAAAATGTATGTCTAAAAATATGTTATTCTTTACAAATGAATAGAAATTTTAGAATTCTGTAATTAAATTAACTTTTATTTCAAAAGTAAACTCTGCATTTGAAAATAAAAGCAAATAAGCTATTACTGCTCTGCCTAGATCTGCTGTAAAAGACAAGAAAATAAATTAGCTTTTCAGAGAAGAGTAATGTTTCTGGCTACTACCTTACCAAAAATGTTGGCTTGGCACGGACCATGGGGCTTCCCGTATGATGAGTGCTCAATAAGATGTATCCTTGATGGCCCCTTGCTCTGGTGGCCGCTGCCCAAATGATCAGGGCAGTTTGTGTCCAGCCAGCACTGTGCCGTGGAGCCGTCTGAGCATCTATCTGCCTCTTTGTCTTGGGCTCCGATTTTTCTGTGAGGTCCAGAACTGTCCTTTGTGGCCTGTGTCTGTTGCTCTGGTATCTTTAGCACCTGATGCAGTGCTGAGAGAGGAGTTTGAATAGATGATACTTGTAGATACTGAGATAATTTTTTTTTTTTTGGTCAAATTTTAGATTAGCTCCTGGACGTTATCAGTTATTATTGGGAAGACAGGCCTTGGGATCTATGAAATCACTAGCAAACAATGTATTAGTGTAATTCAGTCAAACAAGAAAATGGTAATTTGTAGCATAGATTGAAAGCAATTGAGAGGATCTGTAAATTTGGTCAAGAATCTTAACATGGTCCTTAAATCTGGTTAAGATTTCGAGAGACAGGGAGGAGAAATAAGGTTTCTAGGCTAAGGCAATAAAAATAAGGTGATTGGAAAAGGTTCATATTATAGAATAGTGTTTGACTTAACTATTTAAAATACAACAGATTTAGAAAATACTGGAAGTCTTACATCCTGCAGGCAACCTGTATTTTTCCAGGGATTTTTTAAAAAACTTATTTTTAGTTTTACAAAAACTCTGTGAGATAAATGGCATTATCCTCACTTGTAGATTGAAAACTGAGACTCAGAGAGGCTAGATACCTTGTCAGGGTCACCCGGCCTGTGACCATGATGTGAGCCAGGTCTGTCATCCTCCAAGTCCAGCCTGTGTTTGACTGTGTCAGGCTGTGGCTGTGGCAGTGTGGAGTTGATTCCTTTGATGGATGCTTAACAGGCTGTAAGACTATGTAAGTTTTGTGTTAGAAAAATCAGTTTATAATCTTACTACATTTTTAGTGGATGTTGTTTTAAATATAAGACTGCCTAAAGAGCTGACATTATTTTCCTTTCTTCGATTCTCCTGTTCTCATGTTTCTTCCCCTTTCTTTTCCTCTCCTCTGTCCCCATTATTGTATTTTCTACAGTACAAAACTGAAATCCTTCTTTATCCTACTTATCAAAAGATGCATTTCCCATTCTTAATCACATTTAAAATTTTTAAAGTAGCTTAAAAACTTAAGAGAATGTTTATATTTACATTTTCCGCTGAAAGGTGCCATTTTGTAATCTGTAGCTTTGTGTGGTCCAGCATAGAACTTTCTTCCACCTCTGAGGGTATGTCTACCCTAGAGTCACTGACCCCCCTCCTCAGCCCAGTGTAGTTTTAAAGTTAATAAAAAATGACACCTGGTGGCAGATCTGTTCAATTACAAGTTTTATTGCCATGTACTGAAAAAAATAAGATTTGTACAGGTTTGAACAATATATTTAGGCCAAGGAATATGATTAAAATTAACAGTAACCTCAGTCATGTTATCTAAGATATTCCCAAAGCA